ACATAGCTCCCTCGCCGCATCTGATTAGAACAGCCGTCTGCCTCACTACAGCCCCACTGGACCCCAAGGACCCATCCATGCCAGATTTCCCAAAAGTTAGGGATGCTGGTTCGGTGGAAAATGTTAATTCTAATAATATTAACAATTTGTATATATGTCTGTTAGTGTATATGTATGTGTGTATGTATGTTAGTGTATGTGTGTGTTTGTGTCAGTGTGTGTGTGTATGAGTGTAGGTATGTCTGTTAGTGTATGAGTGTTTGTATGCCTGTTAGTGTATGTGTGTGTATGTATGAGTGTATTTACGCCTGTTAGCGTATGTACATTTGTGTGTATGAGTGTATGTGCTTCTGTTAGTGTATGCATGTGTATGTTTGTGTGTATGTGCTTCTGTTAGTGTATGCATGTGTATGTTTGTGAGTGTCTGTCAAATCAGTGAGAGTCTGTTTGTCATTTAGTGTGTGTGTGTGTGTGTGTGTGTGTGTGTGTGTGACTATTACTATGTGTTTGTCAGTGTGTTTGTGTGTGTCTCTCTGTCAATGAATGAGTGTGTGTCAGTGACTGTGTGTGTGTCAAATTAGTGACGTCTGTGTGTTTGTCATTGAATGTGTGTATTACTGTCCGTGTGTATCTGCCAGTGTGTGTCAGTGAATGCGTGTGTGTCTGTCAGAGAGTGTGCTTAAAGGGACACTATAGGCACCCAGACAACTTCAGCTCATTGAAGTGGTCTGGGTGCAGTCTCCCAGTCCCCTTAAACCTGCAAGTTTAATTATTGGCAAGGGTAATTCCACCTCTAGTGGCTGTCTACCAGACAGCCACTAGAGGGACTTCCGGGTGGTTAGGTGACCAAAAGTTGCCTAACTGATGCTGGACGTCCCGTGCATGAGGACATCCAGCATCTGCTAAATACCCATAGGATTTTAGCCCCTTCAGTGTCGAGTGGGGGAGGGGGAGGACACAAGGGAGGGGAGCACTATAGGGAATTATAGTGCCAGGAAAACAGCTTAATTTTCCTGGCACTACAGTATTTCTTTAAAAGAAACAGGAAAATGTGGAATCTAAAGAGGAAGGGGTGGGTTCTTAATCAGGAATTGGTGCGCCCTTGCCAGGAAGGGGTGGTAAATTTAGATTAGGGGGTGCTCAGGTTTAGTCATGCCTAGGGCAGCACAAAATTAAAATACACGACTGTGTGAGTGTCTAAATATGTGTGTGCATCTGTGAGTGTTTGAGTGTATGTGTGTGTCTGAGTGTGTGTATGTCTGTGTGCACCTGCCAGTGTGTGTGTGCACGCATTTATATATGGGGGTCTTGGGTGAGTTCCCACACTTCTTTCCACAGGACCTGACCCCTGTTTCTAACTGCAAAAAGCAAACCTAAACTGCATGAAATAACCCTTAAAGGCGGTATCAGAGTTTGTGCGCAGTCCAGTGATCACTCATTTCTTACACTGTCTCCTTTTCCTAAGCCTGCCTGTTTAAAACTATACAATATGCTTGATCCCATTTTGAAAAACACTTTCCTTATGGCTACCCAGTCTGTCCATGACTACGCTGTGAGGCCGGGTGTGAAGAGTTTATTCCTCCTTATGGTGCAGACACTAAAAGCACCGTAGTCCCCTTAGCCGCCGTAGCTTGGCTACGGTCTCGCCATCCCTTCCCACCCTGGACCAACACCTGGATCCAGCTCCCAGTGGGAAGACCTCTCCTCTAAGAGAGTATAGCTGTATAGCAAGTGATTATAGCAAGTATAGCTTTCCCCAACAGACATTAGTCAAGACTGAATGCTGGGGGTAGTCTGCTTATTTCAGCCAAATGGCTCACTTATATACAGAATACAATGGCCCAGGCCTATTGTGGGAGGCCTTTGCAGAACCGGAGTTCTGGAGTTGTGGAGAGTCGCAATTTTGGGACATATGCGATTACGGGGAGACCCTACATGATCTGTCTACAGTTAACACTGTTTACAACACAGGGAGAGTTGAGTCTTGTCCTTCCTCCTATCACGTATTCATTCGCAAATAAAAATGTGGTTAATGGCATTTACCGTCCTGACAGGAAAAATTGTGCCAAGCAACATTACCGTCCTGACAGGAAAAGTTGTGCCGAGCAACATTACCGTCCTGACAGGAAAAGTTGTGCCGAGCAGCAATCATGCACATGGAAACCTGGTAATTGTTTTTAGGGTCAAAGGCCAGTTACGGCCAATCGGATCCACAGGAGGGGTACTAAAATCCAATTTTCCTTTTGCTTATTGCCCTGTCATGGTTTCATCCTGATGTTAATCCGGGAGTGCGTTCCTGATCGTGATTTTCTGGTATTTGACTTTGGCTTCGTATTGTACAGGGAGAGGAGACAACCGGTCTCTCTCCCCAGCGGCAGCCGGAGATACCGGGAGAGGAGACAGCTGGTCTCTTTCCCCAACTACGGGGGGAGATCATGGGAGTGGGTACACCTGGTCCTACTCCCCAGTGGCGGTGCCTGTTAGCTGAAGACAAGCCACTTGAAACAGATGGTGCAGATGGGACCGAGGTCTCTGCACCAGCCCTACAGAGATGCTGGGCAGCCGTCCCAGATCCCCAACTGCCCCAGCAGGAATACCAGGGAAAGGAGGTGGTTGATTTTTCTTCTCAACAGTGGATTCCCAACCAGGTCCTGGGGGTTGTGGGTGGGACGGCAGTATCCACTGACCCCAGAGCCAGACTACCCACAGGTCACCTCAGCGGAAGCGCTGGCATCTGGGCAAAGTGCAGTTAGCCTCTGCCCTCCCCTTTCCCTGGGTCCAGGGCTTGAATATCCACAGGCCAGCTCAGCGCTGGCTACGGGACAGTGCGCCACTGGCTTTTGCCCCTCAAGCACCGACAGCTTCACGACTGGGAGCAAGTGGGAGACCGGGGGTGATGGACATCACCCACACAGCAACTTGGAACTATCCGGGCCGAGCAGGGAGCAGGAGGTTTTGGGTGGACTTCCCGACTAACTCAGGTACAGATCGGCAGCAGGTCTTGTACCTGGTTAGTCTTACCTTGAGGGAAGAGATATGTGGTGAATGTAATCTCGTCACAGGCTCCTGAAGGAGCCTGCTTGCCAGCCTCTTTCCCAGGACTATAGACTCTGCAAAAAACATTTTAAAAGACTCTGTTCGGTTGGGTTCCCTGTGCTGTTCGGGAAATGAACAGATCCACGAACTAAAGACCACCCGGGAACTTGTTAAACATTATTAACACCTTGTAACGATTTTGCCAGCAGTGTTCTAAGTGTTCATCTGGGTGGCCGCTGTTCATATGCCCGAACACGTTGTGGCAGCCATCTTGTTCCTGCGAACGCAGGCAGCGGTGTTTGGTCGTCGAGTGTATGGAACTAAAATCTGACACTCGACTTTGCGAACACCGCTGAACTACCATCCCGCCTGCGTTTGGTAATTTACATCCTGGAAGAGCGCTGTTCGGTGGAATTGTTCGTCCTGATTGAGGTGAACAAGCTCCACACTATACTTATGGATTGGATTCGGTATTTTGGTGGCATGGAACTCCCAAACTGGACCGGCCGCAACCACTGAATTAATGGAACTGTCTTGGGCATAGGACCATGTATGCGGCCGGTCAGATTCGGCTGTGTTAATGGTATCTGAGCGCTTTTCAGATACGTTGAGAACTCAGATCCAGGCTATCCCGGGATGTATAGACTGTGGGGGTTCCTATGTGGGAAATATGTATTTTTATATATTTTTAATATTTTGTACTTTATGCTGAGTCACAGTGACACTGTATTTTATGGCACCTTGTGGGTGTGGTTATGTGTTTGGGGGCGGTTATGAGTGTGTTTGGGGGCGTGTCACTGTGCTCAGATTTTGTATATAAGTGAGCCATCTGGCTGGAATAAACAGACTTCCCCAAGCATTCAATCTCGACTAATGTCTGTGGAGGAAAGCTATACTTGCTATAATCACTTGCTGTACAGCTATACTCTCTTGGAGTAGAGGTCTTCCCACTGGGCGCTGGATCCAGGTGTTGGTCCAAGGTTGGAAAGACCCTAGCCAAGCTGCGGCAGCTTAGGGGACTACGGTGCTTATGGTGTCCGGTGCGGAGCTGATGGTACTCTGCGACAACTAGGAAGCGCAATTGGCTGAGGTACCCAGTCGGGGTGCCACGCGGTCTGCCACACTACACTTCTGCATTATTTAGTGTGATTCCATCTAACCAAGATGATGAGAGACAGCACCATAACCACTATAATTCATTTGCAGTGTTGCATAAAGTGCCTTTTTAAAGTGTATTAAGGTAGAACATGTGGTAGTTACATGTAGAAGATATGACAACACTATCCCTGCTACATTTCTTCACTAATTCATAGGTACACCCCTTCTCGGTCGTTCCACTCTGCTGGTGACCTTTTCCTGTCTTCTGCTGGTGACCTTTTCCTGTCTTCTGCTGGTACTGCTAACTTGTGCTTGCAGAACTTCTAGCGGGCAACGCCATCCTTATGGAAGTGCCTGCCTCCTTCATCAGACTCTCCACTATTCTTCACTCCTTTAAGATGTCCATTAAAACATATATCTGAAGAATAGCCTATGGCCTTCCTCCAGGGGTAATTGTCACTTTTGAAACCTAATCTCTTACTCTCTCTACATAACGAGTAGGTCCAGACTCCTATTCATTTACTCCTTCAAATTCTGTCATTGTCCCACCTTGTCACTTGGCTGTAATCCTCATTACTGCCCTTCCAATTGAGCTATTATACCCAACCTCCTCTAAATTGTAAATTCATTCAAGCAAGGTCATCCCAGCATGTGTTCCTCTCAAATTGTGTAATAGTTTCTCATTTGTTGTTACATTTCACCCTTTATATTATATTACAATGCTGTTGAATATGTTAATGCTATATAATTGCCAGTAATAATGTGGTTAAACATTGGTAATATTGTGACCGCATGAGAAGCCCAGACTTGGAGCTTGTGCAGTCATAGTGATGAGTCAATAACATACCATCCTAATATACATGTGTGGGAGCAAAGTATTTTAATGAATTTAAATTTGGAATCTCAAATGTGGAAACTTGCATGTTGTGGAACAAATGGAAAAATCATTGAGGCTTCTCAAATTTGAACATGTCAAAACAGGTCATAAACAAATAGACGTAGGCACCTAATTAAAAACAAATAGTAAGTGATGCATCTGAATGTGCCTTGCCATGCCGTTAATATACTCAAGAGTGCTCTTCTCTGAATAACATGTCCAGATCTGAAGGTCAGTAATGAATTAAGATTGATTTCATGAGGAGGTCTTAGGAAACAGTACTACATAAAAGTAAGAGTTAACTAATTAATCTGATATACCTCTGAGAGCCCACCTGGATTAACTAGTAGTATAGATGGGTTGCAATATCGCAGTATGAGGCCTAACATAAATGACGCACAAACAATCTTAATACCGTCTCATTAACTGCAAAGCAACATTCAGTTTGTCATTAAGATCAAAAGTGTAGAGAGAGAGAGAGTGTGTGTAGACTTAGACACCTTAACGTGCCTGTGTAATCTAATAGTATGTGTGTATCTGTGTGTGTCAGGGTGTATATGTGCCAGTGTGTGTAGACTTAGGCACATTAGTGAGAGAGTGTGTGTGTGTAAAATATATATATTTTTTTTTATCGCCATTTATATAGCGCCAACAGATTCCGAAGCGCTTTACAATAATATGAGAGGGTTATTTAACTAGAAATAGGACAATTACAAGAAAACTTACAGGAACAATAGGCTGAAGAGGACCTTGTTAAAACGAGCTTACAGTCTATAGGAGGTAGGGTATAAAACACATTAGGACAGAAATGTCAATCAAATAAGGTGGACGTGAAGCAGAGCTGGAGGAGATAGTAGAGAGCAAGTGACAGGTATGTAAGGTAGAGGTTACTCTGGGAGGCCATAAGCTTTCCTAAAGAGATGGGTTTTAATGCACTTCTTAAATGATTGAAGACTAGGGGAGAGTCGGAATATATATATCTTCAATGTGCGGTGCCATGCCTGGTGATACTGGTCCCAGGTTCAACTCTAAAAATGATGGTAAGCCTAAATATATTGATATCTCTATAAGAACACTACATTAAAAAAATTCTGAATTCATGCATGGAAATAGTAACACTGTCTACTCTGCAACAATTAATATTGCTCATAGCAGCACCTCTTTGTGTAATTATACATTACAAATATTCTGGTAGGTCACACATAAAACAATAATTTCAAACTTATTGTAATCAGGTGCAGTACATTGTTGTCTATTTACTAAAAAACAAAAAGCAAAATAGCAATGATATGGTTTAAAACATTTAATCACGACCAAGGACTTCATTCCCCATCTGCTGCCAATTTATCTCCACCTGTCACTCAATTTAAAATCACTGTGGCGCTAACCAATTTATACTGTAATCTAAAATTTCATTATCGAAATAGACCTCCTTTCATCTTGATTTCTTCCAGATGGAGGACCATGTGAAGATATAAAAAGTAATAATGAGATTAGATGGACAACATATATAATTCTGTGTGAAGCAGCAACCCAAATTTAAAACAGGTTCTGTTTACAATTTAGAGACTAATGCATTTCTGTAGATTCAGATGTAAAAACGAAAAAAAAAAAAATATATATATATATATGTATATCTCAGGCAGCAAGGAAAAACAAGACACATATTGTATTTATTAATTACTGATCAAAAACAAACATACAAATACAAAATGCACACTCTAGAAAGATTTTACCAGAAGAAGTAGACGTTACTCTGCACTTTTCATAGATATACATAATCTGAGGTATAGCACACACAGGCACCTTATTAGAAGTCACTGAATTTAAGTAATTATCTCACATTACAAAGTTTTAAAAGACACTGGTACCTAGACGACAATACCGCATCCCCCAACATGGGCTGGCATACATAGAGAGTAGAAAGGCAAGCTAGTATTTGTACACCAAAGTCAGAAGTCTAACAAGTAATGATGTTTTTTTTTTTTTTTGTCTAGTTTAAAAAGATTACTTTTCTGTAACATACGGTAAAACAAACATTAAAAGGAAGTTTTTAACTGTGGCCCATATGACCAGTCATTCAATATCCTTTGTGAATGAATGGAGATGATTTTAAAACTTGGTAATAGTTTAAAACTCTACTGTAAGACATATATTATCCATTAATTGGGTAGCTATGGCTAGAAGATCACTTATGTACAAAATTAATTTTGGATTTTCACTGTAAAAGGTATACATACACTTACACTGAGCAACCAATATATAAAATAAGATCACCCGTCTTTAGAAATGTATTTTCTGCCAAATGGGAAATATATGTATTACTACTAGTCATGGCGTTCTCGATTTATAGTTTAAAAATTGTGCTGGTTATATTGGTTAGTAACCACAGTTTAAATTCCATACTTTTAGAGGCTGATGTTCAAAGTTGGCACAGGAATCTAAAACTCTGGCCCATTAGAGGTTATCGACTCACAACTTCCAGAATTATTGTAAATTTAATAGATGGGCAGAGAATCATGGGTATTGCAGTTCAGTAAAATCAGAGGAGGCAGATTTTGAGATGCCTGCCTTAGAAGCTTGTACAAGCGTTACCAAGAATCAGTGTTATATTCCCTATTAGCCAACAACTGGTCAATTAATAATTGTGCTGGTTCACAAGAGCTTTTGGCATTCTTAAAACTATTCTGAACCTTCTTTAAATTATTCTGGCCCTGCAACAAATATCCTCACCTAGAGAAAATTGCATTAATTTGCAGTTCTATTGTTGAACTAATATATCAGACAAACTTAATCTCAACTGCCCTTTTACAAAAATATTTCCCCGGATACAATTAATAAACTGGAGGGGGAGATTAACTAATTTGTGACAATGTATTTTCATAAATATTTCCAATGGCATCATATCTGGAAGCATAACAATGTTGGTCTCAGAATAAGCAATATTTTTGTTCTTTAATCTACGACTGCAACTAAATTTGCTCACATTTACAAACTGTCAGATTGCAATGGTACTTTTTTTTCCCAAAATAACCATTTTAATTTCTGTAATAATCCAATTTAATAGATAACAAGTGTATAGAGAAAAAAAAAAAAAGTTAAATTCACACAACATGACCTGCAATGCTAGTTACCAAACCTTCCCTTCTACACCAAAAGGTCAGCTTTTAATAAAATCCTTCTTTCACAATATATCAGACAAACTCAAACAAATGTACCTGTGCAAAAGTAAAGGCTTTCCTGAAATATGGGCCTTTAATGGTAGATTTGGAAACCATGGAAATGTCCTAGTGCAAATCGGAGTGCCAATGTTTTCAATGATTTAAAATAACTGCAAATAATCTTTGCAAATACATTGAGTTACACATATATTTAGAGCAACAATTCATTTGACATAAAAACATTTTTTTTATTTTTTTTTAAGTTTTCTGATGTTTCTATGAAAAAAAAATAAATCCTAGCTTAATGCAAAGAATACACATGCAAAACTCTCATTGTTTTGCATTTGAGAAGATGGAAGTACGTGTTTCAAACAGTTCTTTCCCTCATTTGTTTTCTTTTTCTCAAACTTTAGAAAGGAGTCCTGACTCCGGAGCACTTGCTTTGATGAGGTTTTGAATTTCTTTGAACTTTGGATGATCTTTGTCTGCTACTAACTGTAGGAGCACAGCTTCACTTGTTGTAATAATAATTCCATTCCGTGCCAGGCGCTTTAAAAAAAAAAAAAAAGAAAGAAAGAGAGAGAGAATTGGCATTGTGGTATAGATGGTCCAAAAAAACTGTTAACAAATATACATAAAATAGCACATATATGATATATACTATGGCAAATGGTCCCTGGAAAGGCCAGAACAAAAGATGATATAGGGTAACAAGAACATTTTTTTTTATTGTAAATTATATAGGATGTATAACCAACTTTCGGGATTAACACTTCACCTTGGCAACTCGCGTATACATGATTTCCAGAGTATGTATTCATACCCGCAATTTAAAATAAAATGATGCCTATATTGAGGGAGGGAGAGGGAGAGGGAGAGGGAGAGGGAGAGGGAGAGGGAGAGAGAGACTCTCAAAATGGCAACATGACAAATATCTTGGAACAAAAAAAAAAAAAAAAACATTCAAACATTATTTTCCAAGACACCCAGATTACTTGGATTCGGGGGGTGATTTTCCTGCAAACAACTTTGTAGTGAAGGGGTTCAATTGCTAATAGGATATTCTGTAAAGTGGGTTAATCTCATAAAAGCTATCATTAGATTAGCATATGCCAAAAAATGGAGTACTTTATAAGCAAGTTTATGTAATGTACAATCATGATTAGTGGATTATATTTTATACATATGCACACTCTGCAGAATACGGAGATTGTGTATTTCGAAATAACTAAAGTCATTGTAGTTGATTTTGCGCACACCTTTGACATGATATATGGATAAATAAACTTCACACTTTAGTAGATCTCATAAAAAGGGTCACTAACAGGATAGTGATACAAAGTTATAAAAGTGGGGCTAGTAACAAGAATAAGAAATAAATAAATAAATACATAAATTAAAAAAGGGGTGGGGAATCACAAAAAAGGATGTGTTCTTTGGAATGGTACTTATACACATTGGTGGAGATGCAAAAAGCGGGGTAAAGAGTATTTTCTTTCCACTCCAATACTGATCTTTTGATCACTTTCTACTCAAGGGTTTAATCACTAAACTATACATGGTGTATTTTCAATTCTTCTTTGCTACATTAAGCCAAAGAGATTGAGCTAGATCTTCTTCTTTGTTATATCAGGCCAAATAGATTGAGCTAGATCTTCAAAACAACATTCCTAATAGGGGTTAGCGTTAACCCCTAACTGCATCTGAAACAATGTAAAAAACAGATAAAATTCGTATCTTGTAATACCTTTTTTATTGGACTAACAATTTTTTAATGACAAGCTTTCGGGAAAGCTTTTCATTAAAAAAATTCTGTTAGTCCAATAAAAAAGGTATTACAAGATACGAATTGTATGAGTTTTTTTTACATCTACATCACTGGATTAATACGGCTACAATCTCTACTTGCATCTGAAACCATAGAACTAAAGAAAACGGAGTGTTATTGAAGGACATTAGTGAGAAAACCATCAAGTGGAACCAAGTAGTGTGTTATCCAAAAATAAATGGATATATACATACATATATATATATATATATTATTTATTTTTTTTAATAAATTGCCTCAAAGATACTATTAATTGATAGAAATGAATCATAAACTACTAATATGTAAATGTACATGCAGATCCGAACGTGCACAGCCATGTACTTAAAATGAAATGTTTAGAGACAAAGAACTGATTGTGTTCCACAAATTGCTATATACTCATTAAAGATTATAACTTCAAAGGAGATCCTCTAGATCAGGTGTTCCCAACCCAGTCCTCAAGTACCCCCTACGAGTCCAGGATTTAGGGATTACCCTGCCGTGTCTAAGGTGTTTGCAATTTTTTTTATTTATTTTTTATTTCTAAAAGCACCTTAGAGACAACTGGGTAACCCCTAAATCCTGTATTGGTAGGGGGTACTTGAGGACTGGGTTGGGTACCACTGCTCTAGATAGCTCCCAAGTAATGTCTTGTACATAAAAAGTAAAACATCAGCTAAGGTGTATGCATTTGCCAGCATGTACATCTCAAAACAAAATAAATACATAAAAATGTAAAAGACAAATTATTGGGTGTGTTCCAAAAATTACTAAATAACTAAATAGGAAGGTGAAATTTTTTTAAAAAAATCAATATGACATACATATTACAATAAAATTGTAGGCAATGTTATCCTGCCAAAGTACAGTCACTAAGGGGCTGCAAGTTAAGAGAAGCTACAGTTGTTGCTACCTCTCAGAATTGTGCAGTACAGTAAACCTCAATCAAAATGAAACAAAAAGGTATCCAATATACAGTTCAGTCAGGATGTCTGCAGAAATAGTTATAAAAAGGTATAATGTCCTGAAAATCCCTGCTGTGCCTTTGAGGCACCTCATTGCATTCAAAAGAAAGTACAGTATCTAGATAGATATCGAATAGTTCCTGTGGCTACAAAAAAAAAAAATCTATATCTCTATATATAAATAAACAAAATCAATAGTGTCCCCAAGCATGGCAGAACAGGATCATTGTAGTTTCTGATAACCAAACAACAGTGATGAAGGGAGTACCAAGAGCCCCTGACACCCGCGTTTCGCCACAAGGCTCATCAGAGGGGTTTGATGGGGTTTATACAATACTCAACTAATGCACCAGTCTTCTTCTAAAGGACTTTCCTGTGGTCATTCTAGATTTAGTTTAGTGCATATGTTTCCGTTATTCTTTTTCCTCTTGTTTTATGGGCACTCTGCATACTAATTCTACATACTAATGCCTGCAATGTCATATTATGTTAATTGGTATTTTTCAATAAGTGTTTTTGGTATAAGTCAATCAAGTATGTGAATTTTTTTTAAAGGACCACTATAGTGCCACTAAAACATGCTCGTTTTCCTGGCACTATAGTGCCCTGAGGGTGCCCCCACCCTCAGGGTCCCCCTCCCGCCCGGCTCTGGGGAGAGGAAAGGGGTAAAAACTTACCTTTTTCCAGCGCTGGGCGGGGAGCTCTCCTCCTCCGATCCTCCTCCCCGTCGGCTGAATGCGCACGCGCGGCAAGAGCTGCGCGCGCATTCAGCCGGTCACACAGGAAAGCATTCATAATGCTTTCCTATGGACGCTGGCGTGCTCTCACTGTGAAAATCACAGTGAGAAGCACGCAAGCGCCTCTAGCGGCTGTCAATGAGACAGCCGCTAGAGGAAATAGGGGAAGGCTTAACCCATTCATAAACATAGCAGTTTCTCTGAAACTGCTATGTTTATGAAAAAATGGGTTAACCCTAGCTAGACCTGGCACCCAGACCACTTCATTAAGCTGAAGTGGTCTGGGTGCCTAGAGTGGTCCTTTAAGCAGTTGGTGAAACCTTTCAGGTAAGGCAAAACCAACTTTATCCTAGTGTAAAATGGCGTCTTTGATATAAAAGTAGTTGATCTTTTAAAGGACATCTCTAATTCCCAAGGAAGGCAAGGATTTAGGCTTCAGGTGCTGGTGAGCTCTGCCAATCAAAAAATCTTGCCAAGTAACCCCAGACATGAGCAAATGTAAATGTGTCAGTATGCAAACAGATTAGAGGTCTAAACATTTTTGTCATATTCTGATGGTTTTCTATGGCTACAATCCTTCAAAGCTACGGGTTTAAATGACAGCAGTTGGATTTGGTTTTTGACGTCTAGGACTTTGTCGACTAAACAATTATGGGCAACTGCATGTTCTCCTATAGACTGCGACAGACATGCAGTTCTCTTTTCAGTTATCAGTGATTTCATTCCTAAATTCAGATACGTTTTCCTGTAAATTAGCTTTAAAGGAAAAACAAAGTATTCTTATCACATCTTCCAACTGTGAAGGACTTCGGTTTTGTGCATACATGCGGTTTTCAACACGTTAGTGCATACCCCAGCCATCCAACTCTATGTCTAGGTCTCGTTGCATGGTAATTGTCTTATTTCTTAGTTTAGCTACTACTTTGTCTGCCTTTTTGGGGGTATTTTTTGCTGTGGCATTGCAATTTTTGTTGGGCCAGCCAACTAACAGGCTGTTTGACCAGTCATCAGCCTTCTTGATAACGTAGGGAGTGCTGCCGAAGTGCTCCCTGCATGGTCCTAGTGCCTACTGTCTGTTGGGAGGCTTGCAATGATATAGTAACTACACCTTCATTTTCCAAGATTGGTGAATGTCAGTCATAAAAAAAAAAAAAAAAAATTTCACCTCATTTTACATTATTTTTATACTGATCAGTGTTTACAACAGCTATTGAGATTCATGGAAGTATAAATGAATAGAATCACAGTAATAAGCCATTTGTTCCCCTTAGATGAAAAGGGCAAAGCACAACAACAGGATGATTTGCCTTAACCCCCTTTTACCGCTAATGTTTGGGGTATATAAGCTGTTATATATCCCTTGCTGATAGCTCTTGCCAAGGGATGGAAGACTAATAAACGCAAGAATGAGCGGTTATCAATTCTTTATTCCCTTGGCCAGGGCTTGAGTGTGTTATTTCCATTTTGTGTTATTTCCAATTTGCCAACCACTGCTGGGATCCCAAAAGGAAACTGCTGTAATTGATCAGTTTTTACCATAGAACTTTTTAAAATCCACATAATGTCAGAAAACACTTCGTATATTCCCCCCGCCATAATTCAGAATTGATAAGCTTCCTGCATAATCTAATAAGCGACAAACCTACTGCTGGATACAGCAAGTATTAATTTATAGAAAACTTCCCTTTTATTTGTGCTGCCATTGCTAGCTAGCAAGCCTAGCTGAACTGGATATGGGCACCCTTTCAGTGCCAAGGGGAGGTTGTCAATCATTAGTCTTGCAAAGTTATAATCAACTACAACTCATGTTGAAACCCAAAGTAGTTTTGGAGGGATGCAAAGTAGTTTTAGACGGAGGCAAGAGAGTAGACATTAAAATGCTCCCTGCCCAAAACTAATTACTCCTGTTGTATTAATCCCCTTGCAGGCTTAAATGTCATGTTTCTGTACTCTTTAATCCAATAAAATGCACATTTCAAAGGCAAATATATTAATATTTATGTATGCTCTTGTCCAAACATTTTTTAATTCGCAAAGAAGACACTGTTCACAGTCTAGTTCCTTTGCCAAAACAAAAAGCAACTGGACCTCAATTTGGACAGTGAAGTCCACTTAAACTGAAGGATTGCTTCTCATTTGGCAACGGTACATCATAAAAAAAAAAAAGACAAACAAGCAAGCGAGACAAAATGTTTCAAAGAGAACCTTTAGGATAACGATGTTCCTGTCTTGTATAAACTATATAGACTACAAAATGAGAACATGTTATCACTACACCATTTGTTACCAAGCTTACTCAAACATATTTAGGCCACATCAGCAATAATTTAAAATTATATAAACAGAACCCACATGCTACTGTTTATATGAATGCCGCCTGAAGTCCTTTTCTGTAAATGTCAGCACAGTGTTATTCGATTTAATTTGCCATTACTCTACAATTATTTAAAGGCTAAGCACACAGAACTGCCGCTGGCATGGAACAGAAGAATTGATTGCAATTTAGCTGGGTCATTCAATGTCTGCCCACAAGTGACCTTCTTGTGCATCCAGGCAGCCACACATCAGCTAGTAATCAATGTCAGATAAATGTGACTGTTCATTTGAAATATCCTAGAGACATGTAAATGAAGGATGTACGTTGAATATTGTACTTAGAGTACTGTAAATATCATTACAAGCCAATCAGTATCACTGGAGTCATCAAAGGTTACATTTGAAGTCCTTCAACCAGATCCAATGCAAAACATGACAAGCACACAGCCTACTACCACTACAAAAGCACTCAAAAACATCAGGCTTATAAGTAATCACCTGTGTATTGGACGTAAGCAGCTTGTGTCCTCCATATTTTAGTATTTTGACTTTTTGTTCAATGTCAACACAATGAATGTTCTTGGATGTTTTGAAATATGTTTTAGTCAGACTAGTGCTTTCTTTTGCTGTACTGTCATCATATGACAGAACACAGCCTCTTTTTATTCTTTACCTTTTTCAACTTATCCTGCTTGATCCCTATAGAATTTCCGCGCTTAGGATTACAGAATACAACTTTGCAATAAAGTGTACCTCAAAATGGAAAAGTACTGCAAACCCGGCCCACTATAAAAAAAACTTATCTGTATTCATTTCTGTGCTAATTTATTTAGTGTAATGGTAAGATATCTAAAATGAAATCGGATGGATGTATCCCCTAATCAAGAAATACCTCCTCAAAGATTTCATTTCAAATATTAAAATTAACCTATAGCATTTTAAAACTGTGACACACAACCCGATATTTTTGAAAGCACTAGTTTGCAATTCATAATTTGAATACGGTTTCCACTGGTGATCAACAAAGGCACTGAATACATTTTACCCTCCATTTTATTTTCTGGTTGAGATGAAAACTGAGACTAGGTTATTCAAAAAAAAAAAAAAAAAAACGTACTTCCTCTTTTAACAGCTCCCGCAACATTATTGAAAAACGAGGATGGCCTCAAATTAATGTTTAAAGATGACATAATTGTTACTTGTTGAAGAGATTTTTTTTTTTTTTTCTGATCAGCATGAGCTGTGGAATCTGCACCCATTTAAACATTTTTTTTTTAATTTTTTTTTCTCTAGGACTTCAATTCAATGTATTCATTCATCGTAGAGAGAAAGACCTACACATAAAAGCAATTAATAATGTAGGACCACAGAGAGTAGTCTTGGTAACTGAGGAGCTTGTGATTATTTCATAAAGTCATATATACACAGTGAGTCAAATGTCAGGATCATTCAAGATCCTGGCCTTTCACTGAATTTAACTCACTTAGGTTTTATTTTTAACCCTTTACTTTGAAGATCATTCAATTAGTTGTATCCCACAATAATGAATATTATTGCCAATAAGCATCATACAGGTATATGGGTGCTGCCTGATCCTGTAAAAATTATATGATCCATTCACCACTGACACTGTACATTAAAATAATTGGTTGGGTGATCAATCAAGGGAAAAAAAATAGAATAACACGCAGTGATAAATATTGGGCAAATCACAGAAAACATTCTAGTGATTTCAATAGAATGTTTTTTTCTTTTTGAGAAATGCAAAGCAAATTATTTCCCACCACCAGCCTAAACCATTAACTCAATGAAGTGGTCTCGGTGCCAGGTCTCCCATAGAGAAACTGCTATGTTTACATTGCAGGGTTAATCCAGCCTCTAGTGGCTGTCTTCCAGACAGCCGCTAGATGCGCTTCCATGACGCTCAATGCGAAAATCACATTGAGCACACAGAACGTCCATAGGAAAGCATTGAGTAATGCTTTCCTATGGGCGGTTTGAATGCGCGCACGGCTCTGGCTCCACTCTGGAGCGGACGTCGGAGAGGTCACCAGCGCCGAGGGAGCCCGGCGCTAGATTAAGTTAAGTGGCTTATGGTCTTTTAAGGAGAAAGCTTGATTTTTATGATCTCCAGTTTTGGTGCACTTTTGTCCACCATAGCCTCAGTTTGCAGTTTTACTCTGACAAAATTATAATCTGTACTTTCTACTGTTTTCTGTTGTAGCCTAATGACTTACCAGATTTTAAGTGTTCAGCATTAAGATATGCTCTCAAATAAAATAAAAATAACTCGATTCGGTTACTGTTGCCAATCAGCTCAACAAATCTGAAATTTCTCCTTATACATCTCAAAATAAGACCTTAATAACCTTGCATTCAATGGAGGTTTTTCTTGTTTGTTTTTAATTGTTGCAGTCTCTGTAAATTCTAGAGGCTGCTGTGTGTGTGAAAATCCCAGTAAAGCCACAGTTTCTGTAATACTGAAACCACCATGTCTAGCACACATAACTAACTCATGGTCAAAGTGACTGAAACCATACTTGTTCCCACTCTGATATTTGCTTTAAACAAATTAACCTTTAGCTATTCAAGATCATCTCTGCATCTTTGTATGCATTATGCTGTTGCCTCATTATTGGCTGATTAAGTATTAACTAGCAAGCGCACATGTAATCAAGTTTACAACGTAAATAAATGGACATGCCTTAACATAAAGGAGAAGAAACGGCATCTCTAGCCAAAACCCACTGCACATTAAAGGAAAACAAAATGTTTTCCTCTGCCCCCCCCCTCCCCCGACCCTTTTGATGGCAAGTCAAGGGTTAAAAGTCAGTGAAGTGCCAGGAAGCACCTCTAGTGGCTGTCTGGGAGACCGCTTCTATAGGCTGTCTTAACCCTGCGATGTAAACACTGCAGTTTCTCTAAAACTGCAGGGCTAAGTGGGCAGGGACAGTGCACTCAAACCACTTCAATGAAATTAAGTGGTTGGGTACCTATAGTGTTCTTTTATAACAAATGAACGGCATTCAGATATTTGAGCAAAACTAATAAATTATTTACTGATAGAGACTCACAGCAGCATTTAAAAAATAGCACTCTCATAATCTTTATTATAACCGTTATTTATTCAGGGTAGCGTATATTAAACAAAGAAAAAAACACTTCCTCTGTGTGCATTCACACACTGTCATCAGGACACCATAAATATTTATGCATACTTAACTTAAAATAGCTTATGTTTTACAAAAGGATAATAATTATAATAAAAAAAAAAAATTATAAACTGCTTGTTTGCTTAAACAATAAAAAGAGGCATTCCAGGTTGAAACTTACCTTTTTTATGTGGTGCAGTAAAAATAAAGACATCCAATCCGAAAGAAGAAAAGATAATCAAGCTTGTTCATTTTGTGCAAATCCTCTTACAATACATCATCAGCCTTGTCTAATCCAGGAAATAGCTTAGACAGGCTATGGAGTCTGCAGAGTCTGAACATGTTCAACAGCAGTGCAAAGATTAAAGGGATACTATAGTGCCAGGAAAACAAATCTGTTTTCCTGGCACTATAGGTCCCTATAGTGCCCCTCCCTCTCCCCCTCCCATGGGGCTGAAGGGGTTAAAATCCCTTCAGTCACTTACCCGAATCCAGCGTCTATGTCCTTCGGCACTGGGTCAGGCTCTGCCCAAGCTACTCCGCTGATGTCAGCCGCGAGTGCATTAGACTTTCCTATGGGGAAAATCTGACGCTGGAGGTCCATGAGAACCTCCAACGTCCGATAACGGACCAAAAGTGGATTTCGGAAGCCCTCTAGTTCCTGTCTGGTAGAGGGCAGACTTAGAGCTGCAATGTAAACATTGAGTTTTCTGGAACTGTAATGTTTAACATTGCAGCACTAAGTGCAAAAGGGTCACAGCACCCAGACTACTTCAATTAGCTGAAGTGGTCTGGGTGTCTATAGAGTCCCTTTAAATCATAGAGAGGAGAGGCCGACTAGACATTGGTGCCCAGTCCCAGCTTCACCTCTGTTCAGAGTAGTTATAGTTCAATTATTAGCCTTATACTTATGAGAGCTGTTAAGCGGACTAAAGCTCACAGGAATCTTGCACATTAGGAGGGATGGACAGATGGTCCGCTGTGAAATCAATTTGTACAGCAATCGACCAAACGGCATATGTTTGGAAATTGAGGGAGGAGATCCCTTTACTTATTTAATAGAGTGAGCCTTCAAAGTAAATTTCAAATCTAAAGCCAGAGTAGTTAAATTGAAAGCATAGCTGACTTAGAGAAATGTGTCAGTTCAGCTATTCTGCACAAAATTTTAGTTCTTTGTTGTTCTCCATACCTCCTGATGCACCTACACTTCATCTTAATGTGTATTCCTTTCAGCAGTCCACAGCTTGAAACTACGTACCACCGCACTGTGATTGGACCTTTTAGAGTTTTGTGATCAACTTTCACTGGAACTATCATTCATGCAGTGTCAAATGGAGTAACAAGCATCTAGTCTCCTTCTCTGTGTCTATTTTTAATGTGGGGCTGAAGGGGGGAAATTATTGCCATTTGGCAGTGGAGTAATGGTATCAAGGTTTAATAAATGTGCACACACCCACTGGCATCACTATGAGGTAGTGGACTACACGTTGTGACTAGAGATGTCGTGAACCGTCTGCCGAACTGTTCGCGAACTGTCCGCCGGCGAACAATAGCGTGTTCGCGTTGGGCGTACATATCCGATTTCCGGTCCGCCCCCTATACGTCATCATTGAGTAAACTTTGACCCGGAACCTCACAGCCAGCAGACACATTCCACCCAATCAGCAGCAGACCCTCCCTCCCTCCCAGGAAGTGTCTGCTGACTGTGAGGTTCCGGGTCAAAGTTTACTCAATGATGACGTATAGGGGGCGGACCGGAAATCAGATATGTTCGCCCAACGCGAACACGCTATTTTTTGCCGACGGACAGTTCGCGAACAGTTCGGCGGACAGTTCGCGACATCTCTAGCTGTGACACCAACAGGGCTGATGCTACTTTAAGGCAGTGCCCAATATGGCCTGACTAATCCATTCAGAGGATATGGTGTCCCTTCATGGTCCAGTGAGAGATCAAAGACTTTCCTCACTTGCCCAGTGCACTCACTGCACAGGAGCCTAGAGACCTTCTGGTCTGCATCTTCGGCGGGTTCTGACCTTATATATCTCTTGGTAATAGTGAGAGCCGTATCCCACAGTAAAAATGACCTCGAAGGTGAAGACTAGAAGAACTCACCATTGGACCTCAAGGGATCTCATATGGTCAGGTACAGGAGAAGGTCAAAGCAAAGGACGACACAAACCCTAATGACACCACAGGAATACCTGAAATATCTGTTTAGAAGAACCTTAAACAACACACACAATTCAGTATGCATATAGAACATAATAGCATCATCAATGCACTTGGCTGCCTGCAACCTTAACTATGTAATATATTAACAAAGCCTGAAGATTTAACTTTTTTTGTTAAGCACAAATTCTTGGTGGCAAACATCACAAAATTAAAAATAAGATCAGTTTTGGTTTTAAGACAAGGTTTTCAAACTTTAGCAGCATTTCCAGCAGGAAGGCATTAGTAAAATATGGATTATGACCACTTTGATAAATGATGCTTGATACTGGAAGAAAAGAAAAAAAAGTCACTATTAAGTCACAAAAGCCAGTGTATGAAATTGGACTGAAATGTAGTCCATTGTTTTGTCAATATTGAGTGGTGCAAAAGACCACAAGAAGTATGATGTTTGTGACTATAGAGAGACTGTTCTTAATTTGCTTGTTTATAAGCAAAATAGAACAAATATGATGAACAAATACAGATATTTAAATTATTTAAGCCCTTTGATCTTACCTCCAAGGCAAACATTCTATCCATCATGCTTCTTGATGAAGAGGCATCAGCCACAATGTGAACTTCCACACCTCTACCTATCAGATCTAATGCAGTTTGCTGAATGCACACATGAGTCTAATCAAGGATAAAAAACAAAAAAAAACCTGAATAGCTTGTTATAAATAGTAAATGCTAAAAAAATAATGCTACACAAATCAGTAATTTACAAGAAATGCATGTATAGGAGTCTATTCACTAAATCCCAAATCTCTACCATTCAGTAACAAAATGCAGCTGTTTTAACATATTCGGCTATTGACAAAAGGCAATTTTGGTTATTGAAATCAGACAAATCTCTATAAGATTTAGCTACTCACAAGTACATTGCAACTGAATTACCTTAATTTGGTTGTTCTCATTCACAAAATACAGTCCTGGGGAATTGTACTTAAAACTCTATAAACCTTCCTAATCCTATATCACCTTAATCCCTCCCAAACTCCCTCCCCTCAATCCTAGAAGGGTAACTCAAATGTAAATCCTTCCAAAATTTACTCTTAACATTAGTAGCATTGTTTGTTTATTTTAGCCAGGAAATTCATTTGCAGTTTGATTGCAATTTCGTTGAAATGGTTTGAGCTACTTTGACGTGAATCCTACTGCGGCCATACAATCCATTTGAAATTGCAGGCATTCATTCGGCTCTGAGATTGTTAATGCACAGAGTGACTCAAACAGCAATTTTAATAACTGAATGCAGGAGAATGTCAGCATTTATTGAAAAGATCCTACAGTGTTCTGGACAATGTTCATAAGTAATAAACTTTAAAACAACATGATGTAAAAATTCTATTAAAATGTATAAGAATATATTATATTATAAATAATGGAAAAGTTAAAAAAGAAATCGTTTCCTTGCTTACTTTTAGGTTAACAAATGCAAATTTAAATTAACCATATCTGAATGTGTCATTTTATATTAAGCTGAAATAATCCTGTCAGCGTTTAGGTTTAAGATTTTGTTTACATAAACCAGGATAGAAACCAAATTGTTGACATATTTGGCCATAAAATATTGACAGGCTTATTCACTAAAGTGAGACTTGCTAGAAATTCAAATTACATTTTAAAAATATAGGCACATCTAGTTGAACTGGAGAGATAATACATTTTTTTTTTTTTTTTTTAAAGCCAAATACTGTGAATTTTACATTGAATTTCCAGCTATTTTCACCTGTCAGAAATGGGCACCAAAGGGAAGAAAGAAAAATTGTTTAAAAAAAAAAAAAAATATAAAAGATATATATAAAAGATATAAATACCTCCACTCCAAATAAAACAACACTACGAACTCCAGGGATTTCTGCTAATGCCGCTTCCACTTCTGGCAAGACCATGGAAAATTTCGTTTTTGGCACAACAAGTTTCACCCCTGTAAGATCAAGTTCTTGAACAGTACTTCCAAGACCCTTAGGATACTGTTCTGTAACAATAACTGGGATTCCTAAAATGCGTGCACCTTGGAGCTAAAATGAAAAGAAAACCCATTTTAAATGACGGTACACAAACACATTCAAATTTTATAATCACCCTTATCCTAATCTGTGATAACGGCCACGTGAGCACTTACCAATCTTTGTCCTACACTGATTATGTCTCCAAAATATTTGATTGCTGGTCGGAATCTTTCTTGCATGTCACAGCAGAAGAACACGGTACTGGCAGGTGTGAGATTTCCAAGTGTTGTTAACTAAAAAAAAAACAAAAAAAAACAAAAAAAAAACAGCATAGCAAATAAATATTTTAAATGGTTAAAAAATAAAACAAACAAGGAGAAAAACACAATTGTTCCCACAATTGACTTTATGGTATTTGAGAGTAATCTCCAATTAAACAAAAGACTGGTCCTTTCAAATAAAAATTTTCATTTAATAAAGTGAATAGGTTTTGTTTTTAAGTTTTATTAATCTTGTCTGATGATACTTTCAGCTCATCATTGCCATCAAAAGTTGTGGGGCCAATAGAGAATTTCACATCATATTACCAAAGCCACAATATGTGCAGGAGGTAAGGTTCCAAGCATAATAATGGGCTACTTATTAGAACTGGCTAAGACGTGTAATGGGTTTATTACTTTTCCTGGCTTCAAGTAAATGTGGCTTCCTTCCCTCATTTCCATTTTTACATGTGACAACTGTTAAATGCACAACAGAGGAATCCTGGCTCTTTTGCACAGGACGGACAGAGGCTGCTATGCCAAGCTATGCCATGGGCAGGATGTTATTAGTATCCTCTTCCTAACAAGAAAGGAAGTAGCAGAAACATTGTGGCATTTTCAAGTATATTAAACCATTACCTCACACATGTGGAAGAGCACTCTTAGGAGTCCTCCCTGGTTAATATGGAAACTGGCACCCACTATGTCAGGATTTCCCCTAAAACTAAGGAATCATTGAGTAGCACCCGTTTTAAACAATAATCACCCTCTATTTCTAATGCATAAGCAATAGACTGCATATGTGATTTGCAGCTCTGGTCTCCGCATGACGAACATCCCATCTGCGTGATTGACAGGTGTGGGGGTGGCAACTGCAGTTATTTTTTATTTTTTTCCACAAATCAATTCAGTTTCAAGGCATTCTCAATAATGCAAAGTTGCTATACTGCTGAGACTGATCTTTTAACTAAAATCTTGAACAATACACTTTAGATTGGGGGGCGAGAAAGCTGGTGGAGCATTGGAGACCCCTGCCATACTTCTTTTTAAATTAATTTTGTATCAGGAAGATGGGTTATGGCTTCTGACAGCTCTAAATAGAACATATTGTACAGTTTTAGACTACCAGCTGGCCGATTCCAAATAACATTAAGGCGGCAAGAGGCAGACTTTTACATCTTCTATGCTCACACAAACCTTCAGGGTGATTAAGAGAATTCTGAATTCTGTTCATATGACAACATATATCCTTGACAAATCTGCCCTTATAGATGTACTTACAGGTTTTAATAAAGCAAACATTTATGTTTCTATCACGAGTGATTTGGAATGCCTTCTTTGGCATTTAATTAGCATGGAATTAAAAACTTTTTTTTTTTTTACTTTGACAATTTTTATTGATCTTTTGGGGGATACAAAAAGAGTGGGGGAAAAGCAGTGGCAGGCTTAAACGTACCTAGTACAGTGGTATGGGCACATACCATTGGTGCCTGATTGTTAGCAATTTAGGTGTGTCATACAGTATACAAATTGAATATACAATTTCCATCTGGAGTATTACGCTACAAGTTTGCACTTATTTGAGCAAATCAGGTCATGCGTGCTTCAGGTACGGTATTGTTGACTTAGATATTCCTTATCCAGGTTGCCACTGGGAAAAAGGGGGAAACGGTTGGGGGGCAACGAGGGGTGCGGGGAAGTGAGTGTCACTCCCAGGCGTGAAGCGACTTGCACTGACCTTATTCAGTACCGTTTTTTACATGTTTGTACATTGGCTCGTGCCCTGAGGAACACAGCTGTCTGTTTGCAGATATATGCTTTTGCCATCTCATTTCATTTCGGGGAGGAATTACTGTGCTCCATGTATTGGCGCCAATCGTCTCATGCCTCTAGCCAGTCCTTCTTTGGAAGGGGGGCCTGGCAGCTATTTCATAGAGTCTTGTAGTTTCTAATATTTGTGTAAATTCAGTGATTGGCATTGGTAGAGGTGATTTCCAGTGTCTGCTAATTACCGTAAGGACCGCCATGAGTATCTGATATGTTAGGTATTTTTGCTTCCTCCTCATTCCTTTTGGAAATAGTTGGAGGAGGTATGTTTCGGGTGTTCTGGGTAAAAGTGTTTTTGTGCTCTCTTGGATTATGGTGGAAATGGTGTCCCAGAATCGGGTTAGGATGGGACAGATCCACCAGATATGGAGCATCGTGCCTTTATGTTGCTGGCATCTCCAGCATATGTTAGATGCTTGTGGATGTGCGGCTTTGATGCGAGTAGGTACTAAATACCACCTGTATAGGATTTTACGAGAGAGCTCCATGGGTGAGGCACATTTAGAAAGGGAGTTGTGCGCCTTTACATAGTTACATAGCTAAAGAGAGACTTGCGTCCATCAAGTTCAGCCTTCCTCACATTTGTTTTTTGCTGTTGATCCAAAATAAGGCAAAAAAAACCCAGTTTGAAGCACAATTTTGCAACAAGCTAGGAAAAAAATTCCTTCTTGACCCCAGAACGGCAGTTTATCCTTGGATCAAGCAGTTATTACCCTACATTGAAAGATTATATCCTTGAATATTCTGTTTTTGCAAGTATGCATCTAGTAGCTGTTTGAACATCTGTATGGACTCTGATAAAATCACTTCTTCAGGCAGAGAATTCCACATCCTGATTGTTCTTACAGTAAAAAAAACCTTTCCTTTGCGTTAGACGAAATCTTCTTTCTTCCAGTCTAAACGCATGGCCTCGTGTCCTATGTAAAGTCCGGTTTGTGAATAGATTTCCACACAATGGTTTGTATTGGCCCCGAATATATTTGTATAATGTCTTTCCACTGCTGCAGGATTAGGTTATATTTAAATTCTTTCTCCCAGGCAGTTGTGAAGGAAAATTTAGTATGGTCATTGTGTGTGTGTGTGTGTATTGATTGGTAGATTTCAGAGATTAATTTTTTAGGGGGTGAGAGGAGTAGGCAGATTTTTTCTACCACCGTCAGCTGTGGTTTAAAACAACATTTTAAAAGAATGAGCAATCAGAAAATATAGGATTGAAGCAAATGTAATGCATATCTGGAAATGTATAGGTTGCATCTCAGCAGTGTAACCATTTATAATACAGAACAGCAAAAAAAAAAAGAGCATACATATCTCAGAAAACCTACATTTCTGACAGTTGATTCTACTTGTAGACTAGCGATGAGAGCTCCTGCTCGGTCTAAATCACCTTGTGGAGACACCCACAGAGAAATATTCAGGGCAGGAGAAAAAGATTTATTTTCTTTCATATACGCCCAAACTGAAACAGAGCAACACTTTAATGCTTCCAAGGAAACAAGCTGCACTATTCTACCATAATATTGCTTTGTTTGAGCAACTGCAATCGTTACAGATGTTCAAAAGTAAATATCAATCAATGTATATTGTAAAACAATACTCAAGTAATCAAAATTATATTGCTTACATAAAGGCAAACTGTGGAAAGAAAGAGAAATAGCAATCTCAAAATAAATGTATATATCCACACTTGAGTCCGCAGACAGAAACTTGAAAAAAAAAAAAGAAAAGAAATGTAAATGAAACCGCTTAATGACACTCATTGCATTGTAAAATTATACTTTAAAAAGTTGCTGATCTTTATTACAGGAGCATGACACACCCCCCCAACATCTGCGTCCCTCAGAAGCAGGACACCGGTGGAAGAGTGTAGAGGGGACAGCCAGTTATGTGATTGCATCACTGGCTTGGCCCAAAGTGGGTACACCTGACCAGAAAGAGGGTTAGTCGTCCAAACTACCAGCATGTCAGCCAGGCATGAATGCACACCAGGCAAGCCCACTTAAGTAACAGCATGCAGGGAGCACTGTTTCATTACTCACTACATGGTCCTAGGGCACAGAGTGTAGAGAAAGCGCATCTAATGATGCACTCGTGCTTCACTTTTTGGGGCAGTTTCCTGCTGTCCACAAAAGTGGGACACCATGGAACAACGATCTCAGAGGTGGTTGGGAGACCTGTTATAATAAAAGAACCCAAACACTCCATCAAGATGTATCCCTTTAACTTGCTAATGAAAAAAAGTAAACAGTCTCCAGAAATTAAAGAGAGAGAGAGAGAAAATTATTTTTCCAGTACCAATACCTTCTACACTTCTAACCTTAACATTTCTACATTTAACTGTGTTATCTAGGCTCTACAGCACTCGCAAGGCCTGGTCATTATGTAGGCTAGTCACTTGAGGCAATGATTCCTTCCTCTATTGTCATTATTGTATAATGTTTAATCAGACTGCTGTCGCAATGCAGTCTGAGGTCAGCCAACAGAAGAGGACTTTAAAATGAAATTAACATTCTATCTGGGGGCTAAGGGACTACATTATTTATGTTTCTGGCAATCAAAAACAATAAAAGGTTAACCTTAAGGTATTCCTGTGCTGTAGTTTCAGCCCCCCACTTTAAAATAAAAAAAACCTACAATATGAAGGCTCCAGATGTGCTTTTGGTAAATATTATTGAGAAGTCTGCTTGTTTCATATACATTTTTTAAACGACAACAGGCACCTAGGTGTAGGTGTCTAAATGGGTTCTGATCCACCTGAGGGATTCTGACAATAGCTAGCCGGAAGGAATTGATTTCTCTTTGCACATAGGAGATTTAAACAGGAAGAACCCAGTGCACAGGTAATAATTAGCAAGTAAGAAGTAAGAAGCCACCAAGTGATGAAATCAATACACAATCTGTTGAATTACTGAAAGGGGGACTGTCACTTCTCTGGAATTTTCACCATTGAATAGAACATTGATAACATGCCGTGTGTGAACCCTTTTTCGTGAGATGTTCGTTTTTCTTTTAAATTTATATTAAAGATTTAGCAGTTCATATCATAATCCATAATTCCTCTTCTCACTAAGCTTTCTCTATGCTGAATGCCAGGTGCAAGTCACGAAGCTTATTGTAATGATTGATGGAACCAAGATTGAAGCACCCAGATGCAGGATGAAGTAGTATATAGATTTGTAGTTTTAATTGAATTCTTCACACCTCGCAAATACATATTATATTACACGTTATATAAAGCACAGGATTAATATTTACACCTCCAATATTCTCCCAACCGTGGAAAGGGTACTTAAGGGGAATCTTAAATGTATCTCAACCCCACACACACAAACTTGTAATCACTGTGTGGATTAGTATTAAATAATTCACAAACCAATAAATTAAAAAAGATACTGTTCTGAAGTCATTGCTTTGTGGGCAACAATACTCCATGAAGATATCCATCTCAATAAGGAAGTAGGTGAACCAACCAATCAATGCACTAAGTCAGATATATTGCCCCCAAGCAAGCATGCACAGTTACTTCCATTAAAAGGTAGTTTGTCATGTCCAGTATCGCTTATTGCTTGCATTCACCTGCACAGTAGGTCTGTCTGTCCAAAATCTGGCCATCGCTTATTACTAATGTGCATGAAAATAATCTAGGAGTACACAGTATCTCCTTGAGAACTCTGCATCCATTATTGTTTTGAATTGTAGGTTTATCTTACAAAGCAGAAAAAGCGAGCAGTTAGAATGTCAGCTAATTAATTCATGTTAGGGTCTTCAATCACCCTTACAGCAGAGAACAGCCAGAGCAAGAATGAAGCATACGGTAACCTTGAAAATATAAGAGAATTTCACTGTTTACCTGTAACAATCTGCACACAACACATAATATAAACAATAGAAATGATTTAGTTATTAGAGCTATACATTTTTATTTCAATATTTGCTCTCTCAGAACTGCCTCATAATTAAATGAAGGGTTTCTAGTGTACAAAATTAAAGGGATTCTCTAGTGCCAGGAAAACAAACCCATTTTCCTGGCAATGTAGAATCCTGCAGTGCCCCTCTCCCTCCCGCCCCCCATCAAACATCGCTGAAGGGTTAAAAACATCCGCCGATGTGTGAGATCTAATTCGCATGCCCGTCGATAGCCGCGCACTCATTAGACTTCCCCATAGGAAAGCATTAATCAACCAAAAGTTGTCTAAGAACACGGAAGTCCCTCTAGTGCAGGGGTGTCCAACCTGCGGCCCGTGTGATTGTATGTGTGTATGGGTCTGATTTTTTGTGTGTATGTATGTGATTATGTGTGTGGATCTGTGTTTGTGTGGGTCTGTGATGTGTTTATGTATGTTACTATGTGTAAAGGTCTGTGACTGTATGTGTGTGTATATTTGTCACTATTATTATTATTGTCATTTATATAGCGCCAACAGATTCACTTAGCACTTTACAATATTATGAGAGGGGGGATTTAGCTATCAAATAGGACAATTACAAGAAAACTTACAGGAACGATAGGTTGCAGAGGACCCTGCTCAAGCAAGCTTACAGTCTATAGGAGGTGGGGTATAAAACACTTTAGGACAGGAAATAGCAATCAAATAAGGTGGAGTGAAGAGGAGCTGGAGAAGAGTAGAGTGCTGCCCTTTAGGAGAGAGCAAAAGACAGGTATGTAAGGTAGAGGTTACTCCGGGAGGCCTCTGGGAAGCATTCCTAAAGAGATGGATTTCTAAGGCACTTCTTAAACGATTGAAGACTAGGGGAGAGTCTGATGGCGGTAGGCAGGCTATTCCATAGGAAGGGAGCCACCCTTGAGAAGTCCTGCAAGCGTGAATTGGCCGTACGGGTGCAAGCAGCAGAGAGGAGAAGGTCACATACAGAGCAGAGAGACCGAGAAGGGCCATACCTATGGATCTGTGAAGAGATATAAGAGGGGCTAGAATTGTTCAGTGCTTTATAGGTATGGGTTAGCACTTTGAATTGACTCCTATAGGATACAGGAAGCCAATGCAAGGACTGACAGAGGGGTGAGGTGTGAGAGAACTAACTAGAGTGGAAAATCAGTCTAGCGGCAGCATTTATTAGACTGTAGCGAGGCAATACGGCTTTTGGGCAGACCAATTAGGAGAGGGTTACAATAATCCATGCAGGACATTACTAGAGCATGGACAAGCTCCTTGGTAGCATCCTGTGTAAGAAAGGGGCACATGCGGGCTATGTTGATGGAATCTACAGGATTTGGCAACATACTGGATGTGAGGCTCAAAGGTGAGGTCAGAATCAAGAATGATGCCAACGCAGCACGCTTACAAGGATGGACTTATGTGGATACCACTAACTTGAAGGGAGAGTGAAAGAGGAGGATCAGTATTAGGAGGAGGAAAGACAAGGAGCTCAGTTTTACAGAGATTGAGTTTCAGAAAGCGGGAGGACATCCAATCAGAGATGGAAGAAAGGCAAGCAGTGACACGTGGTAGGACAGCAGGGCAGAGGTCCGGGGAGGAGAGATATATCTGGGTGACATCAATGTACAGGTGGTGGTGGAATCCAAAAATGGTAATAAGTTTGCCAAGAGAGGCAGTATAAAGAGAAAATAGAAGAGGACCAAGGACAGAGCCTGGGGGGACTCCAACTGAGACAGGATGAGGGGAGGCGGTATCATTAGAAAAACAGACACTGAATGAGGGTTGGGAGAGATAAGAGGAAAACTAAGAGAGGACAGAGTCACAGAGACCGAGTGATTGAAGAGTTTGAAGAAGGAGAGCATGATCAACAGTGTCAAAGGCAGCAGAGAGGTCAAGAAGAGTTAGGGATTTAGCTGCGATTAGGTCATTAGTAACTTTGATGAGAGCAGTCTCAGTAGAGTGAAGAGGGCGGAAGCTAGATTGAAGAGGGTTGGAATTGAGGAAGTGAGACATATGGGTAAAGACAAGTCTTTCTAGAAGCTTTGAGGAAAAAGGGAGCAGGGATATGGGACGATAGTTAGAGGGGGAGGACGGGTCAAGAGATCGTCATTGTGTGTATAGATCCAGGATTGTATTTGAGTGTGTGGATCTATGATTGTATACATATGTTTGTGTGTGTACATCTGTGATTATGTGTGTGTATATGTGGCTGTGTATAGGTCTGTGATTGTTTATATTTGTGATTGTGAGCATAGGTCTGTGATTATATATGTATGTAAATATCTGCGGTTATGTGTGCATATGCATGTGTATATATGGCAATCCCACAGAAGGATAACAAATAAGGGAGTTATCTACTAAACAATTGAAATATCAAAATTAAGAAAAGGGGTTTTGAAGTTTTCTTACATAAATTATAGATTTTAGGTGTGGCCCAAGGCAATTCCTCTGTGCTCAATGCAGCCCAAAGAAGCCAAAAGGTTGGAACACCCATGCTCTAGTGGCTGTCTGGCAGACAGCCACTAGAGGAGAACTTAACCCTGCACAATAATTATTGCAGTTTATAAACTCTGCAATAATTACACTTGCAGGGTTAAGGGAGTTGGCACCCAGACCACTTTAATAGGCTGAAGTTGTCTGGGTGCCTAAAGTGTCCCTTTAATAAACCGGATTAGCTATTAAAGGAATTGTATAATGCCAGGAATACAAATCTGTATTTCTGGCATTTTAGCTCCCTTTGTTTGCCCACAGTTTAAAGCAAAATTGATAGCAGTAGATATTATACATTTTATTTTTCCAACACTTGTTGCGGTCAGTATAGTAAAGAATTCAAGTTATTAGTGCAGACAGTACAGTTATAGTCTCATTAATTACTTACTTAAAGGAACACTGTAGTATTCCTGACACAATAGTGGTAAAATAACTCACTTTGTAGTAAAAAGGTGAATTTACTTACATTTTCACCCAAACCACGCAGATCTCGACACAACTGGCCCCGCCTCCTCTAGGGAAAATCTCAGACAATCCAATGCTTTCCCATAGATCTGCGCCAATCAGCATCTCCTCATAGAGATGCAGTGAATCAACGCATCTCAATTGGGAACGTTCAGCATCTCCATGCAGAGCGAGGAGTCGGTGAACACCAGCAGTGACACAGGAAGCACCTTTAGTGTCACATTCAGTGGCTGCCTGAGTGACTGCCACTAGGCAGCAATGTAGACACTGCCTTTTCCCTGAATAGGAAGTGTTTACTTAAAAAGCATGAAGGGATAGGCTGCAGACACAATAACTACATTAATCTGTAGTGGTTCTGGTTACTATAGTGTCCCTCTAAGTTTATACCTCTTTTTCTGTGCCTCTCTTGCCTTACCCTAGGGGCAGCCAATCTTTATGTCCCCTGCACGTGTAAGTACTGCTCATTTGGCCAAAAATCATGTTGGTAATTGCTGGTGTGTGTTGATCAGTCCTGAGAACACGTGCAATCAGCGGTCATGTAAAAATACATAATTGTGGATGATTTTAGACTTTCACTATGCATATAGTTTAAGCGGATATTTGGTGCTTTCTACCAAAAAGGGTTAGAAATGGCTGCCGCCACAAAGCTAGGGTAAGCCAAGGGAGGGCCACAAAAAAAAAAAAAAAAAATTAACTTACAAACATATTCACAACTAAATAATGCACAAAAAAAAATCTAATTTGAATTTAATTTACAAAAAAAAAAAAAAAATGAGAGAGAGAGAGAGAGAGAGAGAGAGAGAGAGAGAGAGAGAGAATGAATTGCATTTTACCAGCAGTTACCCTTAACAATTCATTTAACTGATATAACTGAGAAACTGACTTTTGCTAAATTAGATATATACTTCTAACTATCTGCTATCAAGAAATGTATCTGAATTAATTAAATGGCATGAGATATATTTTTATAAATATATAAAATTATTTTCTCACCCCTCCTGGGTGGTATATTTATTTCTTATTCATGGGTCCTCTTCCAGAGGCCTGGGAGTCTGAAGGTTCTGCGCTGTATCTTAGCTGCTCCTAAAACTGCACTCTTCTGGACAGCAATCTTAGATGATCCACCTGGAATCTGTTGAAGACACTCCCCCAACTTGGGAGTAGCAGTCCTGAGTGCTCATATCACAACTGGAACTTCCACTGCCTTCACTTTTCACATCCTTTCTAGTTCTTCTTTCAGACCTTGGTATTTGTCTATGTTTTCATGTTCCTTCTCCCTGATGTACTAATCACTTGGTATTGCCACATCCACCACCACTGCAGTATTCCGTTCCTTGTCTACCACCCCAATGTCAGGTTGGTTGGCCACTACCTGCTTGTCTGTCTGGATCTGAAACTTCCACAGGCTCTTAGCCATTCTTAATTACCCTTTGTGGTATCTACCATCTTGACCTGGACAGATCCAACCCATATTGTATGCAGATATTTCAGTACACAATCCCAGCAAATTGGTTGTGCCTCGTAGTGTATGCTGGCCCTGATAACATATTGCACACAGATACTATGTGTTGGATTGTCTTAGAGGCCTCTATGCACAGTTTGCTACTTGGGTCTTGCCTGGTGTGGTAGATCCTCGCTTCTACTGATCTGGTGCTGAATGCCTATTCCTGTGCTGCTAAGATTAGTGCCTCAGTGTGGTCTTTCAGTCCTGCATTTGCCAACCACTAGTAGGATTTTGTAATGTGAGCCACATCCACTATTTGTCTGTGGTACACCTGTGGACAGGTTTGTCTTCCCATGGAAAATAAGATATGGGGAGGAGGAAGAGAGAGCACCCCCCTTGCTTTTCTTATTACAGAAAAGCAGGTATAACCCCTTGTTTTCCAACAGGAGTATGATCCATGGTGGTCCCTGTGGTGCTACCATATACATGCTCTTTAACTCGGACATATACGCAATGAGTCAGACTATTATGGTAATCCAGAGACAGCGCTCTGACACAGGGATCTCAAGAACTGCAAGGGAGCATTAAAAGTGTTCCCTGCATTTCCAAATTGGCAATATGTTAAATGATGGTGTTCAAAAGGAGTGGTCCCCATTTGGCCTGGAGATCAAGTGTAACTCACAATAGCGACCTTTGCAATCCTGGCAGTTTCACCACTACCTGTTAATCCTACCTAATTAAACCTATGATGTGGTTAAAGGGACACTTTAGTCAACTTAAGGCAGCATAACAAAAAGAAACAAAATAAACTTATATTTTGCAAGCCAGTTTTGTGAATGTGAAGTCAATAAATCACTAAGAGCGTCAGCTGACCATTCTCAGCTAATCAGCAGCACCCCTTACCACCGCCACTCTGTGTTTTCTGAAAATGAAATTTCAAAAGCATGATGCTGCCTTGAGTACGGGGGCAGAGTAGAGATTGAAGCTGGAGGCAACTTTGTGGTTAAACCGTTAGAAAACAGTTTAACCCCTTGAGGTAAGAGTGCACCAGAAGCCTCCTGGCACCATAACAATTTTACTTAGATTAAGTTGTTATGGTGCCTAAAGTGTTACTAAAAAAAAATAAAAAAAAATACATAAATTAAAAAAAGGTATAACCTAGCATGCAACAACAATGGTTAACACTACACAGCTCGCCCATGTATGATAGCACATATCCACAGCTAACCTTTTTCCCATGATTACTGACACAGCCAGTCATTGCCAGTGGTGGGACTACCAGGGTCAGAAAGGTCGCTATTGAGACAGCCCTGAATTTTCATCTGTCAAGGCAGTGCCAGATGTTTTGTTTGCATTGCATTTAATTATTTTTTTTATTTTTTTGCAGTATGAATAGCATTTGTTTAGTCTAGAGGGTATAATCTAGCTTTTTGGGTAAAAAAAAAAAAAAAACCATAATTGAAAGTTTATTTTTGTTGTTTTTGGGGGGTTTTGTAGACGGCAAAAAAGTGCCAAACATTTAGGCTTTAAGAGCCAAAAGCGGTTCATAAAAAAAATTTAAAAAAAAAAAAATTGTAGCTATCTGAACAACTATCCCAGAAACAGACAGAAAAAAAAAAAAAAGAACACTTTTTTTTTCAGGTGCAGAGTTCAAAGATTATTTTTCATATTAAACACAAAATCTCCACATTCAGCCAAATCCACACACAATCATAATTTAAAAAATTCCACACACACTCACAATCAGCCAGCCCTACAATCACACTCAGTCAAACTCACATAGTCAGGCAACTACTCAGTCACACCCTGGCATCTCCACACACAATGAAACTCCTCCATATGTATAATCCCACTCAAAAAAATAATCACCCCCTGACACACATCAACATTCTGCCAGCCCCACAAAAACTTAATGCAGCTCAACCAAACTCCCCACTCAATCACACCGAGGCAACTTCACACACAATGGTACTCAGCCAGACTCCACACACAATCATACTTTGACAATTCCACACACCACCACATGCCCATACAAAAAAATATATTTAGCTAGCTCCACGTACACAATTACACTCAGCAGACTCAATACATACATATCACACTCTGCCAGCCACCAAACAAATTCTACTCAGGTACATTGCTTAAGGGGTGTAATAAGATGGACCCAGTAGTTCCTACTTACTCCCCTGGCCATTGCCAATCTGGGAAACTCAGTCCAGCAGAGGCAAAGGAAGGTTTGTCCCTAAGTGTCTCATGCCATGCTTGTGCTGCCCATTGATTATCAACACTGACCTGTATTTGAAGGGGCACCAGTCTGACTTTGCACCTGTCGCTCACCACGAAACCCTTGGGTAGGTCAATGTACTGACCCCATTCCTCCACAAAGAGCTGCACCACGAACTTGCGGTGCATATCTATCTGGTCTCCGTACAGGCTGAGGAACTTCTGAATCAGGACCTCATTTCCCGAACCGTGGGGCACCGAGGATGGCCGGGCAAACACTGAGAAGCAGAAGAGCACTGGCACACTGCTGCTACTGCCAATACCACCAATTCCCCCCAGGGCACCGACACAGCTGTTGCTCTTACTGCCTGGGCAGCTGTTCCCCTGACCTGTACACACTGACTGCTCAGCCATGATCACCAACTGATCTGATCAAGAAAAAAAAATGAAAAAGGGTGTGTCTTTCTCCTAGCCTTTTTATTTAACCCCTTTCTTTCTTTTAGCAAAAATCCTGTTTTATAGTGTTGCTGCCCCTCCCCCTGCTGTCACCTCTCTCACAGGAGGCCAGACAGAAAGATGTGGAAAGGAAGGCAGGCTAAGGGTGACAGCCCTATCCCTTTCGCAGGGAGCACTCACTAGACCATACCCCCTCCCTCTCCTCGCTCTCTTCCTCCTGCCAGCAGCAGATTGGATAAGGGAGCTTGTCTGTGATTAGTAACTGAGAAGCCATTTCCGATTGGAAGGTTTTTGGCTTGTGCTCTTGCTTTATGATATATTAGCTATCAAGAAAATAAATAAATAAAAATGAAAATACTTCATATAAATTCACTGCGGACAACAGATTGCATTCACAGGGCAAGACATTATATCTAACACGCTGTTATCTGTCAGCATGTTCCTCCGACTAGTTCTTTTTTTTTTTTTCTTTAAGCACTGGAGAATGGAGATTACTCAGGGTGCCGAGAGACCACTTAAAAATAGTTTTGTCTTTATCTTATCTTGAATAGTACAATGTGTTTATGTTGAGGCTTCTAAATATGTTCTCAAACATTTTTTTTTCCATGATTAGCGTCATGATTACTTTTTTTTTTTTTTAAATCTGTTCTTTGAACCTGATATATCAGACTCTCTCTCATATTTAAATATTGTCAATAAGGAATTTTGCAGTCTATATAGTACATTACTGCAGGTCAGCAATTTTCATGTGATGCCATTAGCGTAATGAATTTATATGTGCAGTGTAAATCACAGTGGATTTTCTCCGTTAGACTTTTACCCAGTCTCCACTCCATCAAAAAAATCTTTGAAAAACACACTTCTTCAGGAAAGCATATAATTTAAACTGTTAGCGGATTTTCATTCCCCTACCTCCCACCCCTCATGACTCCTATCCTGCAACTGTCAAAAATAGCCTTCCAAGTTCCCAGTGAATGCTTTTCTAGCAACATATTTTATTACCCCTACTTATATCCTTTGTGTCACTATTCCCCACTCCCTCTAGCATGTAAGCTCATTGAGCAGGACCCTCAACCCCTCTGTTCCTGTGCGTCCAACTTGTCGGGTTACAATTACTTGTCTGTTAGTCCACCCATTGTACATTGCTACTGAATTTGCTGGTGCTATATAAATAATAATAATAATAATAATGCAACCCTAATTTAAAAAGTGCTTTTAAGGCATGTTCAGATTTTACTTCCAGAATACAGTGCAGATACAATTTGGAGCATACTGGTGTCTGCAAATAAAATCAGCCCTGAAATATCTGGATGTCATACAAAACTATTTGAATTTAGACAATTACTAGACACTGAATGGAGTCCAATTTTTTTTAAATAAATAAAATAATAAAAATATATGTATAGTTTGCAGCAAATCTAGGCCCAGCTAGGGAGCATGTGGTCCGCACATCCAGCAGATGCAGAAATCTTCCAGTCCGGCTCTTGCGCAATAAGTCGGAGCATTGCCACGGTAACCCGGGGCAGCGCTCTGGCTCATTCACAGAGCACTGGAACAGCGAGGGTGTGCTTAAAGTTCTCGCTATTGTAATTTATTAGGTATATTGTTGAATTGGAAATATACTAAACAGCAGTTTTCTAATGGCCCCTCTGGCCTTTGACCCCTTGACAGGTGAAATTTCACAGCCTAGTCATAATAGCGACCTTTAGAACTCTGGTAGTTCCAATGACAGGCTGAATAATTATGTGAAATGCAGTCTACAAAAAGTGCCAAACGTTAACCAACCAACACAGTGGAGTTGTGGAGTCAGGAAGGCTGTATAAAATGTATCATGTATACAATTTATCTTTTGTACAATGTATCATATATATATATATATATATATATATATATATATATATATAATGTGTTATATTTGTCTGGTATACAATGTATCCTGTGTACATTAGTCAACTCCACACACAATCACACTCAGCTATCTCTCAACAGTCACAATCACACTCAGTAAGCCACCATACAAATCCTACTCAGGTGCATTGCATTAGGAGGTGCAATGAGAGGTGCCCTTCCTTAATTTTTGTACAGTGTCCAAGTAGATCCTAGTTATGCACTTGATCATTACTATGCTGGAGTGCCAGGAACGTTTGTTGGTATCTCATTCCTTGTGCTGCCCATTGATTACCCATTAACCAGCACTGACCTGTATTTGAAGGGGCACCAGTCTGACTTTGCACCTGTCGCTCACCACGAAACCCTTGGGTAGGTCAATGTACTGACCCCATTCCTCTGCAAAGAGCTGCACCACGAACTTGCGGTGCATATCTATCTGGTCTCCGTACAGGCTGAGGAACTTCTGAATCAGGACCTCATTTCCCGAACCGTGGGGCACCGAGGATGGCCGGGCAAACACTGAGAAGCAGAAGAGCACTGGCACACTGCTGCTACTGCCAATACCACCAATTCCACCCAGGGCACCAATACAGCTGTTGCTCTTACTGCCTGGGCAGCTGTTCCCCTGACCTGTACACACTGACTGCTCAGCCATGATCACCAACTGATCTGCAGAATAAGAAAAAAAAAATGTGTTTTTTCCTTGGTTGTTTTTCACTCCCCCTTCTTTCTTTTAGCAAAAATCCTGTTTCATAGTGTTGCTGCCCCTCCCCCTGCTGTCACCTCCTCCAGAAGAGGTAGACAGAAAGATGTCGAAGGGAGGGCAGGTTAGGGTGACAGCCCCTATCCCTTTCACAGGGAGCACTCACTAGACTAGCCCTCCCCCCTCTGTCTCTCCTCCTCCTGCCAGCAACAGATTGGATAAGGGAGCTTGTCTGTGATTAGTAACTGAGACGCCATCCCTGATTGGAAGCAAGGCTTTTTGCTTGTATACTTGTTTTTTCATATATTAGGTATCCACAAAATAGAAAGAAAATAAAATAAATAAAAATGTAAACATTTCATGTAACTTCACTGCTGATGACAGACTGCATAGCTAACACTGTTTTCCTGGTCTGTCCATTAGAGCCTATTCAGAAGAGGATAGGGAATTATTTATATTATTAGGATGGTTTATAGGACTTCTCTTCCTTTGATCCTGTGTTTTTGTTCCCTAAATTTGCAGTCTAGTGACAGATCTATATTTAGCATAATATTTTTTTATTTTTTAATCTTCTCACCCATCATATAGAATGTTCAGTATATAACTCCCCAGTAAGAGTTCTGTCTCTCTGGTAACTGTAGAAGCCAGCAATCAACCACTTCACTGAACGGGAAGAACTGGGCTAATCTGTCAGTCTAATATTAGAAAAGCTGTTATTCATAAAACGAATCGTTCTTTGAGCATTTTCTGGAGGACAAATGCTGTTTTGGGGCACGATTGCCAGGAGAGCCAAATTACCGTGTTATCTTTTCTGTAGCTACAGATAAATCATCTGTGGGAATGCTGGGTGCTAGGTTCGGAAATTCTCTCTGTTTGGGGTGTACCAAGATGGCCGCAGCACATGCTCAGTAGTAACTTTCATTATTCTCTATGAGCCAGGAGTTAAGATGGTGAATTTTCACCTAAAAGGGAAAAAACAAATAGCAAACATTGTCCTAAAGTTTTTTTTAAAGCAATCAATTTTTAAATTTGAGGTATCCTAAATTAGTTTTTTTTAGTGAATAACACTGGGTGTCTGTTAGTTCTTCTGTTTTGGTTAATCAGAGAGAGTAGAGCCTATAGGGTATGGAGAGACACCTATATTTAGGCTGGTGCATAGTTGCCAACATTTGAAAAAAATTTCCAGGGACACTTTGCAACACCACAGCTATTAATTATTACCTTGAAAATGTACCACACCCACTGTGCTGCAAAGTCCCGCCCACATTATTAATCTCCGCCTACTTATAGTGCAGGGTCTACGCAATAAGGAGAGAATTACAGGTAATTGAGACGGTAATTTTAAACTTAAGGCCAAAGTAGCCGAGTTGGAATCATTATCCCATTCAGCTGCACTATTTCGACCTAAAGTTTGAAATTCCCATCACAATTCCCTGCAATTCTCTCTTTATTGAGTAGGCCTTTATAACACCAAGTTCCCACTAACAGTACCAGCATCCTTGGTGTGCGATAGATACATGCGCAGCACAGCATCTATATCAGGCAGGTATATTTTATCACTTTTAGGTCAGCTGGGTATCAGTGGTGACACTGTCAGTACAAATATAGAAAGACTTTGTGCAGATGTGCTTCAGTCAGAGAGTTGTGTCTACACCATAGAACATACATTAGTTCACAAAAATTATTATATTGGAGAGTGAATATATATATATATATATATATATATATATATATATATATTTTTTTTTTTTATTTTATTTTTTAAAAAGCTGAAAATAGGAAATGAAAGATATAGAAGAAGAATTTACAGAATTGAATTAATGAGAGAAATGGGACCAAAAAGGAAACATATGCACATATTACATTAGCCCCTTTTCATGCCACCAATTCAACATGTTGAATGTCTCAGATTGAGGGTTCAGTCACCACTCCACTGCTTCTGATTCTTCTAGTTCCAGGAGTCTGCGGGTATTATACGTGTATTATACAAAGAGCAGCACTATACAGGGAGCACTGACTGTCCCATGATATTATACACACAGATCTGTGTTATACAGAGAGCAGCACTATGCACTATATAGGGAGCACTGATTGCCCCAGGATAGTATACACACATATCTGTATTATACAGAGAGCAGCACTATATAGAGAGCACTGACTTTCATGGGATATTATACACACCGACCTGTACTATACAGAGAACAGCACTATACAGGGAGCACTGACTATTCTGAGATATTATACAGACAAACAGGCAAACTCACTGACACACACAGGCTCATTAAATACAAGTTCACTGACACACACAAGCTCACTACAGACAAGCTCACTGACACAAATAAGCTCACTAAATACAATTTCACTGACACACACAAGCTCACTAAAGACAAGCTCACTGACACACTAGCTCACTACATACAAGCTCACTGACAATCTAGCTCACTACATTCAAGCTCACTGACACATACAAGCTCATTGACATACACAAGCTCACTACAGACAAGCTTATTGACACACACAAGCAGTGTCATCATAACAGCGTTATCGGCCTCCCCGGGCAAAGCAGTGCACTAGGGACCTTCCTACACAACCAGTTTATCAATTATCGATACAATTAAGCTTTTATTTATTGGTACCACCAACAAATGTAATACATACATACACACAGACTGCTGTACACATTCATGACAAAGGGAACACGGGGGAGCATTTGGGGGTGGCATTTTTTGTTGCCCCCTGAGTGCCGCCTGCAGGAGCAACAGGAGCGTTCCTGCAGGACTCGAGCCCTGAATAAAGTACACATATTTGTATTTAGCAATGTCTCACAAAGAAAACAGTACCCCCATGTATAGGTTTTATGTTGTTTTGGAAAGTTACAGGGTCAAATATAGCACGTTACATTTTTCAGTTTAGAAACATTGAAATTTGCCAGACTGGTTATGGTGCCTTTAAAACCAAATGGTAGCCCAGGAATGAGAATTACCCCCCACGATAGCATACCATTTGCAAAAGTAGACAACCCAAGGTATTGCAAATGGGATATGTCCAGTCTTTTTTAGTAGCCACTTAGTCACAAACATTGGCCAAAGTTAGTGTTAATATTTGTGTGTGAAAAATGCAAAAAACTAATTTAAAAGCTAATTTTGGCCAGTGTTTTTGAATAAGTGGCTATTAAAAAGACTGGACATACCCCATTTTTAATACCTTGGGTTGTCTACTTTTGCAAATGCTATGCCATCATGGGGGTAATTCTCATTCCTGGGCTACCATACGGTCTCAAAGGCAACATAACCAATCTGGCAAATTTCAATGTAAAAAAACAGAAATGCAAGCCTTGTATTTGACTCTGTGACCTTTGAAAACACGATAAAACCTGTACATTGGGGGTACTGTTATACTCGGGAGGCTTTGCCGAACAGAAATATTAGTGTTTCAAAACAGTAAAAGTGAAAGTGCCGTTTGCATGTGAAAAGTGCAAAAAATGAATGTTTCACTGACGATATCATCGTTGTGATACGTTTTACTGTTTTGAAACACTAATATTTGTGTTCAGCAAAGTCTCCCGAGTAAAACAGTTCCCCCCATGTACAGGTTTTCTGGTGTCTTGGAAAGTTACAGGGTTAAATATAGGGCTTGTGAACCAAATTCTGCGGACTTTATGCCTGGGTTGTCAGGCAAGTCCCTCAAATCATAATTATTAAAATGACTTAAGTATGTGTATGTATATTTGTATATATATGGAATTCTTAAAAATTATTTTCATATATATATTGATATATATATATATATATATATATAGAGAGAGAGAGAGAGAGAGAGAGAGAGAGAGAGAAAGAGAGAGAAAGAGAGAAAGAAATATATACATTTGTAGTCGGGGCAATATTGCCCTGATGATAAGGTAACATAGCATAATTTATAACCAATAAACATAGTTCAAATGACACCAGTCGGTTGTGGTGTGCCGGAACCGACAATGCAATAGGCTTGTAATAAAAGAGGGCAAAAAGAGGTGTACCATACAAAATGTATTCATATAACAAACATCACTTATTTGGACAAATCACGAAAAGCTTGCCGTAACTCTTTAACTTGGTTTGGAATGTAAAGCGTATAAGCGGAAGATATCCAGTGTCCCATAGCTTTGATGATATGAGCTGGAATGTGGTTGGAAAAAGCGGAAGATGCTGCCCCTACGCGGACGGAATGTCCTGAGAAAAGGGTTTGCATTTAGGCCGAGCCTAGTTAACAGTAAACGAACATAAAGCATGAATTTAGACATAGTAAGGATGGAGCCGTGAAGTTCTAATAATGGTTGGTGTGGTTGTTTTTGGAAAGTGTTAAAATAAGTGTCCAGAACTTTTACAGGGCACCATTTATTGTGAGTAGGGAACAGATGTATATTGACCGTATGTCCAATTGGGCTAGTTTTAGAATCATAGAAACATAGAATGTGACGGCAGATAAGAACCATTTGGCCCATCTAGTCTGCCCAATTTTCTAAATACTTTCATAAGTCCCTGGCCTTATCTTATAGTTAGGATAGCCTTATGCCTATCCCACGCATGCTTAAACTCCTTTACTGTGTTAACCTCTACCACTTCAGCTGGAAGGCTATTCCATGCATCCACTACCCTCTCAGTAAAGTAATACTTCCTGATATTATTTTAAACCTTTGTCCCTCTAATTTAAGACTATGTCCTCTTGTTGTGGTAGTTTTTCTTCTTTTAAATATAGTCTCCTCCTTTACTGTGTTGATTCCCTTTATGTATTTAAATGTTTCTATCATATCCCCCCTGTCTCGTCTTTCCTCCAAGCTATACATGTTAAGATCCTTTAACCTTTCCTGGTAAGTTTTATCCCGCAATCCATGAACCAGTTTAGTAGCCCTTCTCTGAACCCTCTTTAAGGTATCAATATCCTTCTGAAGATACGGTCTCCAGTACTGTGTACAATACTCCAAGTGAGGTCTCACCAGTGTTCTGTACAATGGCATGAGCACTTCCCTCTATCTACTGCTAATACATCTCCCTATACAACCAAGCATTCTGCTAGCATTTCCTGCTGCTCTATTACATTGTCTGCCTACCTTTAAGGTAGTGAGAGTTCACAATGATCTTGTGGATATCAGCTGTTTTCATTTATCCTGT